TTAATCTTAGGTTCGGTCTCTTGAAATAATCACTCATCTCTTGAGGGTTTTGGTTGGTCTTTTAAAGCTTCTTTTCTATGTTTTTTTTTTTTTAGAGTTTGGGTTAATTACATATTCTGGTCCTCAAACTCTGAGATTCTTTCTTCTCCTTGGTTAATTCTGTTTTCCATGCTTATCAGTTTGTTATTTATTTCATTCACTGTATTCTTTTTTGTTGTTATCTCAGTTATGAACTCCTTAATCTTTCCTCTTGTCTCTCCTCATCATCTTAATTTCTATTTATTCACTTTATTAATATGCTGCATATGGGTTTGTGGTTTGAGACCAGTCATTCTGGGGACTCTTCATTGAGTTCCAAAGTCTGTATTCTTAGTGACTGACTTCCCAGGGGTCTGTGTGAAACTTTTATTCTTCCTTTGATTTTTCTTCATTTGTGTAGGTTCCCTCCCCCACTTTTTTTAACCTCTTCTTTAATCCTGTTGTTCAGTGATGGGGGATAGCTTTTATTTTGGTTTGCTCAATATCCTATTCTTCCTATGTAGATGCTCTGGTTTTGTTCAATTCTGAAGTTGAACTGGGAGTGGGGGTCTGTGCTTTTTGCCGTTTTGAGATTTAATTAAGGGGGAGCTGTGGTTTAAAAGCTATCTGCAGTAGCTGCTGGCAGGTGTCTGGGCCACCTGGAACCCACTTCCCACTGCCTTGCAATCTGTCCATGTAGTAGATGTGTCTGTTTTCCCACTGAAAACAAAATGAGATAAGAAAAGGGAAACGAATGGAAAAAGGAAGATGAAAGGAAAGTGGAGAGAGAGAAAAAGAAGAGGGATAACAGACAGGTATACCAACTAATGAATAAACAAAGAAACAAACAAAGACAGAAAAAACAAAAAGTACAAAAACATACAGACAATCATGCAAACTAACAAACACCCCCCCGTTGGTGTACTTGCCCTCAAAAATACTCATAAACAAACAGAAAATCTAAAAAAAAAATTTAAATAACAGAAACAAAGCAAGTACAAAAGCAGAAAGAGAGAGAGAGAGAAAAAAATCCAAAACTAAAACAAAAAACAAGAAGAAAAAAAAAATCACTCTGTGACTGTTTCTGTAATTCCAGGATACTTTTGATGCCAGCTCTGCCTTAGGAATTGTCTCTGGTCTCCAGTCCTTCCCCTCTGCTCTCAGTGCAGGCTGATAGCATTGTTCTCAGCATGGGTCAAATGCCTCATGGCCTACTGTAGGAGGAGGGGAGATCAGATCTGGACTCAGCCTACTCACCACTGTCAAGTCTCCTACTAAGAACTGACATGTCTGTGCCTGTTCCAGCATGGGGGAGGGGTGTCTGTCTCTCCAAGTCCAATGAGAGGATAGCCTTTGGGTCCCAAGATGGAGGCTGGGTGGAGCTGGGAAGGGTAATGCAGATCCCTGCCTGGTCACCTGTCAGCGTCTGGTCACCAGCATTGGAGCTTTCCAGATTTCCATGACCTGCCTTCTCCATGGTTCCTCCTGCACATGCCCAGTGTACTGCTGCAGGTTATGGCATGAGCTGGATGCCAAGTGGCAAGGGGCGGCCCCCAAGAATGGCAGATGATCCTGTGCACCTGGGTCTCCAAGATTGTGGTGGGTTGTAGACACCTCCAAAGGAAAGTCCTGGGTGCATGAACCTGAGTCTCCCCTCAGATGGACTTTCACTCACCCACCAGCACACATCCACTCACACAGAGAGTCTTTATGGACACTCACTTTGGTGGACACTCTCACAGTCTGACCTGTTCCGTTGCCATTTTGCCCAGAAGTAGATCTCTATTTTTCTTACCCTATTGTTTCCTAAAATTGCCTAATGACAGGATTCACCTGAAGAGCTTATTAATTATACAGATTACCAAAAATTTCCTCCACAAGTTATAACCCCAGTAGGTCTGGGATTCAGCAACAATTGATGAATTTTAAAACAGCTCCGTATGACTTTTATCTTCATAAAAATTGAAAAATACTTCATGGGAATACTTGGCTGATCAGATCTGAAATTGCATGTGAGGGTAGCAAAGCAAAAAGTGCTTTGAACAAAATGTAGTGTTTGACCAGGCAAGGAAGTTTATTCGAGGTTATTGCAATAGGGAAGAGATCAAATGTTAGCCTGAACTCAATTCCACTGACACAAAGAGTGGGACAGTTCTAAAGGGATAAGATGAACTACTGGAAAAGTACTGGAGGACTCTGGGGGAACATTGGTCGATGTGTTGAACACATTGAATTGAGTTTGCAAAAGCCTTTTTCTGTGAGTGGATTACCTGTGTTTGCTAGCTGATGCCCAATCAAAGTTCCCATAAAGACTGGGACATAGGGCTTCTAACATCCTTGATGATTGTATTTCAAAGGGATAACCTCCCATCCTTGAGAAAAACATGACTGGATTGTAAAATGCAAAGTGTATGGAAGAAGATTTGTGTCTCAAAGGTGCCGAGAAAGAACTTATAATTGTAAATTTTTTTAAAGGGAATCCTCTAAGGAAAGGAAGTCAGGAGTCTATAGTCAGGAAGAAACTGTCCAAAGTTTATTCAAACTGAGAATGCCTTGGTCAAGGGTAAGGTATTACTATTACCACTATGACTACCATTATTACAGCTATTACTATAATTAGGATAAGCTACTCAGCAGAGAATTGAAAGGAAGTATCAATATTAGGAATATCAGAAGAGAAAAATCAATGTTACTTTCATCCTAATATTGGGAATTGGAAAGTGAAATACAGAAGAATGAGCAGCCCAAAGGTGTTGACCCTAGACATTAGGATAATAGAGATTCATTGGTAGAAATGGAATTTCCATTTGGCTGGCAGGGAGGTGGTGCCAAATAACCCAAGCCAACGTGAGAAAGCCTAACTCTTAGATTTCTTTGGTAGAAATGGCACCCTGTAGTAGGCATTGGTAGTTGATGAGAGTTCAGTAAAACAGCAGGCTTATGGAATCCTCCTCTGAAGAGTGGTCTTTTCTGATACAACACCACCGACCAGCCCTGGGTTGTGCATTCATGGTTGGCATCTTATGTTGGCTCCACCTTAGACACACACACACACACACACACACACACACACACACACACACAGTCTCTCTCTCTCTCTCTCTCTATATATATATATATATATATATCAGAATAGAAATAGATACACACACACACACACACACACACACACACACACTACTGAAGTATTTTGAAGTAAGTTATAAGAATTTTAGCCACAGGGTTTAACAGAAAAGCGATGACTTCCATTTAACACAAGTTGTATTAGAAATTTGTCAGAAAACTTGAGTGAGGAGGACAGTGTTCTTAGAGGTCACCTTAAGAATAATATCTGAAGAGGTGATAGCTGAAACCATTTTTTCTTAAGCAGTAGAAGAAGGTCCCCAGTGTTGCCTGCTCCATAGAGGTCTATGATGCTAAGAACTATCAAAGGTACGATTGATTTGCTCATGGAACCCCTGAGAAGAGGTAGAGAAGAGCATAAGTAGAGTGGTCCGGGGGAGTTAGATGCAAGGTTTAAGAGTGAATGGGGAAAAAAGGAGCCAAGAGTGCAGATGAAGTCTGGCTTTGAAAAAAAGTGTGACTTCGAGGGGGCAGAAAAGAGTCATAAAATGAAGTTATGGGGATGTGTGGTATTAATATGCTTTACTTTTTTCCAGTTACTTTTTTAGAGATCAGAAAATGAGTGAACATTCAGAGAGAACCAATTCAATTCAAGAGGGACTCACAGATCATAGTTTCTTTCTGAGAAAACTGTCAAATTGGAACAGAAACAGCTGGTATGATACACAGATTTTATGATTC